GTTAATTTGCATATCACCCTGATTAGCCAATGGGAAGCATAGCGGAGGTACGGTTAATTACCCTTTTTGTCTTTTATTAGATAGGATACTAGTGGCCTGGTGCACAGATTTGTGCACATTGAAAGAAAAATAATTAGAATATTTTAATATTGCTATTTGCCCTTTCTCCCTCAGCATCTGAGAGCCGGGCGGCAGCCCTGCCCCCGCCACCTCTGATGGTCGCTGCCTGCAGGGCAATTAATGGGTCCATTCGACCACCCCTGCCCCCCCCACACACACACCCGCCTTGGCCTGGTGCCACCCACTCACCTGCTCCACCATCCCGCCACGGTCCTGCTCTCGCCCTCGTCAGGGCCCATTGGGGCTGGCAGTACCTCCACTGCCTCCCGCTGCCAGCACCCGCCATGTTCCGAGCCACCCCTAGTGGTCAGAACACATTATAGTGAGCAGTCAAACTCCCTGTCTCCTGGTCAAATTCCGGGTCAAACGACCGCCCGAGGGAAAAATTGGTATATTACGCTTTTATTATATAGGATTATCTTCTTCACAACTTTATGGTAGATGATGCTGCCAATTTACAAATTAGGAAATTAAAGCTTAGAAGAATTAAAGGAATTGCCTAAAGGTACTGAGCTAGTAAGTGCTGAAAATGGGAGTCAAACACAGGTCAGTCTAATTCCCAAGTCTCTGCTTCTCACCATTATGACATACTGCCTCCAAGGTACTCCTCACAAAGCATGCTCAAAGGGGTGCTTTGCTTATACAACTTAATTCAGCTAATGTCATATTTCCAAAGAACCGGTATCAATTGGTCTTTCAGAGCTTTGGTGGTCCGCATTGCAGGCCCTGAAAGTCTTCACAATAAAACAATAATTCCAAGCATGATTTTTACTTTTATTTATTTATTTACTTATTATTTTTTAAATATCTTTATTGATTTTTAGAGAGAGATGAAGGGAGAGAAACCTCAATGCAAGAGGAATTGGCTGCCTCCTGCATGCCCCCTATTGGTGTTCTTTCAGTGCATGAGATCACATTCATGCACTGAACCACACTGGCCAGGGCTTATTATTATCATTATTACTAGAGGCTGGTGCAAGAATTCATGCACAGGTGGGGTCCCTTGGCCTGGCCGGTGATCGGAG